CGCCTCCCTCCGCGACCCCAGACCGTCGGAGCCGGGAAGCAGCGGGCCAGGGCGGTGCCGGCTGTGTGTCCTGAGGGAACATGCTGCCCCTCTCTGAGCCGACTCTGGTGGAATCGAGGTGGGCCCCCCTCTGGAACAGGTGTTGCTTGAACAGCAGTTGCCGTTATTCTGTTAATAATATCTTCATTTTTGTCCAAGATAATCTTAGTGAAAATGTCTTGTCCTCTTGTAACGTGTGCTACAAATTGGCTGTGATGTTTGCAGCTGTTGCTGTTGTGATCACTATTTCTGCATGTCGACACTGAAGATACTTTGATGCTGGCACCATCTGGAACTTTCCAGGAAGCCCCAATAGACGTTTTCACTCGGTTAACTGTACGATTGCAAGATTCATCCCATTGTCAGCGAAATTAAAATTCAAACACACCCTGCCCAGGTAGCTGAGTTGGTTACAGCGATCACCCTAATACATCCAGATTGGGATTTAAATCCCGGGTGAGGGCACATAGAAGAATCAACCAACAGCCCTAACGGGTTTGGCTCAATGGATAGAGCGTCGGCCTGTGGACTGAAGGGCATGTACCTTAGTTGCGGGCACATCCCCAGCAGGGGGTGTGCAGGAGGCGGCTCATTGATGTTTCTCTCTCATCCATGTTTCTAACTCTCTATGCCTCTCCCTTCCTCTCTGTAAAAATCAATAAAATATATATTTAAAAAAAGAATCAACCAACAGATGCATAAATACGTGAAACAACAAACTGATGTCCACCCCTCCCCCCCAATCAATCAATAAAGCCCACCAATCCCCAGTAGGGGTCCTGCAGGAGGCAGCCCATGGATAATATTTCTGTTTCATTGATATTCCTATCTCTCCCTCTCCCTGAAATCAATAATAAAATAAAATAAAACCAATAACTAAAAAAGTTTAAATGTGAACACGTTGTGCATTTTAAAATGGCAGAACAGGCTGTTATTATTGTTACCCGGAGGCTGGGAAACCTCCCTGGGGCACAGGCCATGGGGCTGCTGTGCAAGAGGCAGGACTGATCGCTGTGTAACAAACTGGCCCGACAGAGCTCTCAGAACAGCAGCCATTCATCATCTCTTATTATTCTGTGGGGTGATGGGCCTCCAGCGGGTGGTGCTGTGACCATGTGGTGTTGGCTGGGCCAGGAAGTTGGGAGAAAGCTTCCCTCTAGTGGCCAGTGTGCGCTCCTACGAGGCCTTTGGGCTTCCTCCTGGATGGCCGGCAGGAACATCAGACATTCCTGGGCAGAAACTGCGGAGAAGAGGCAGAAACTGCACGCTTCCTGAGGCCTGGGCTCAGGAGTCCCAAAGCCTCACTTTCCCACCCTGAGCTGTCAGAATCCCAATCCCGTCACATCCTACAGCTGGGGTGGAAGTATGTGTGTGTGGGGGGGGGGACCCCACCTCTTGGTGGGTGGGGCTGCATGTGCTTGCTGGGGAGAGGGGGGCATAGTGCCATCTCCGAACAGCCCTGCAAGCTGAAGGCTTCTTTGCCCCGAGGGACATTTGCCCATTCTTGGAAGGCCCCAGTCCTCCCCAATTACGTGGGGACATTATAGCTCCCCAAACCACCCAGGTTTGCGGAGATATTAATATGAGACTGAGAGGCTAGAACATCATGCTGTTGTTTTTCAATCCTCACCCGAGGATATTTTTCCATTGATTTTTAGAGAGAGTGGAAGAGAGAGGGAAAGACAGAGAGAAACATCAATATGAGAAACACATTGATTGGTTGCCTCCTGCACACGCCCTGACCAGGGCCAGGGCTGGGAAGGAGCCCGCAACCGAGGTATGTGCCCTTGACGGGAATTGACCCCCGGGACCTTTCGGGTCTGCAGGCCAATGCTCTATCCACTGAACCAAACTGGATCGGGCCATCATGCTGTTTTGATGTTGGCCCGAATCTTTTTGTTCTGGTCTTCAAGACCTGGCCTCCAGGCTGGATGTGAGGGTGAAATTCTCCTCTTTGCTCATGGGCCCTGCCCACCTCCCTTTCCTCCCCCCTCCCCCCCAAATCACTATCTCCCCGTGGCTTCCTGAACTGCTGCCATTCTTCTTGCATCTGGCCCTTTACACATGCAGGTCCCTCTGTTGTGTGAGGTATACCCTCACTCACCCATCAAGCCTCAGGTCAGCTGCCTCTTCCTCCAGGAAGTCCTCCCAAATCTCACCAGGCTGGGTCAGGCACCCCGACTGGCTTCCCATTACAGCTCTAGCATCCTTGTGCTGTACCTTCTGGGTGCATGCCTTACTTGGTCCCCCAGGTGTCTCCAGGGCCCAGTGCACA